CCCTGTGATTGGTGAGAGCTATGAGTTCTTGGCCTCAGGATGGAAAGGGCACCCTGAGAAGTTCATCTTTGACCGCATGACCAAGTACTCATCTGACGTCTTCAAGACCTCCATCTTCGGCGAGAAGGCTGCCATCTTCTGCGGCGCTGCCTGCAACAAGTTCTTGTTTTCCAATGAAAACAAGCTTGTCACTGCATGGTGGCCTAGCTCTGTCAACAAGGTCTTCCCTTCTTCCCAAGAGACTTCCGCCAAAGAGGAGGCCAAGAAGATGAGAAAGATGCTCCCCAACTTCATGAAGCCTGAGGCTCTCCAACGATACATCGGGATCATGGACACTGTTGCCCAGAGGCACTTTGCTGATGGTTGGGAAAACAGGAAGGAAGTTGAAGTCTTCCCCCTCGCCAAGAAGTAAGTATTTTAATTAACAATATGACATGCATGTTACTTTTTTTCTTCTTCTTTATAAATTAGCAATTTAGATCACTGATAGGTATTAACCGAGAATATAGGTTAACAATGTGATTAAAATCACCGGTCTGATAACATAACATGTCAAGAATGAATGATTATAGTATTAGTAAGTAATAGAGCGGGTCTACATTGATTTTAATTACTGTATGTGTAATTGATGATGTGCGTTTCAACAGCTACACCTTTTGGCTTGCTGCACGGTTGTTTGTTAGCCTTGAGGACGCAACGGAGATAGCAAGGCTAGGGGATCCATTCGCCCTGTTGGCCTCCGGGATCATATCGATGCCTCTGGACTTCCCCGGAACTCCGTTCTACAAAGCCATCAAGGCGTCCAACTTCATCAGAGAGGAGCTGACAAAGATCATCAAGCAGAGGAAGGTTGATCTGGCTGAGGGCAAGGCGTCCCCAACACAAGACATATTGTCACATATGCTGTTGTTGTGCGATGAGCATGGAAGTCACATGAAGGAACACGATATTGCCGATAAGATTTTGGGGTTGTTGATTGGTGGGCATGACACGGCCAGCGCTACCTGCACTTTCATTGTCAAGTATCTTGCTGAGCTTCCTCATATTTACGATGAGGTCTACAAGGGTACGTATCATATATGCCGATCATTTTCTTTCATTAATTTCTAATTACTTCTTTCCTTATAGTAATTAAAACTCGAAATAAATTATTATGCTCTTTGTACCAAATCTTAAGGCCTATTGACCTTTGCAGATCTAAGCTTTCATTTTTCCTGTGATCAATTAATGAAGTGGGAACTGCTCTCTCTCTCTCTCTCTCTCTCTCTCTCTCTCTCTCTCTCACACACACACTAATAGTCGACCAATAGATATTTCGATGTGACTCAATTAATTAATCACCTTTGGCCGCCCTGGATAAACATAAACCAAACCCATCACCATATATATATATATATATATATATATTATCTTTCTTGTAAGTTGTAGCCTTCCTGGGGTCGGCAAAAGAGATTTTTATATAAATAGTCAAATAAGATCAGCTGCCTACCTGCTTCTCTTGCAATTACATATTTAACCTTTTTCAATTTGGGGGTTTATTTAAATTAATTAATTATTAACTAACAATGTTATGTAATTAATTTGAAATGATTAACAGAGCAAATGGAGATCCTGAGTTGCAAAGCCCCAGGGGAGTTGTTGAACTGGGATGACCTACAGAAGATGAAATACTCATGGAACGTAGCCCAAGAAGTGCTGAGATTGGCACCACCTCTTCAAGGAGCTTTCAGGGAAGCCTTGGCTGACTTTGTCTTCAATGGTTTCACCATTCCAAAGGGCTGGAAGGTACGCATTCTATCATATCATATTAACTTAATTGTTTGTTTTAATAATGTTTAATTGACTTAATTAATAAATAATTAATGACATGAACATCAACGTGATGGTTGGTGCAGTTATATTGGAGCGCAAACTCAACACACAAGAACGCAAATTACTTCCCGGAGCCATTTAAATTCGACCCAACAAGATTCGAAGGAAATGGGCCAGCACCCTATACCTTTGTGCCCTTTGGAGGAGGCCCCAGGATGTGCCCAGGCAAAGAGTATGCCCGCCTGGAAATTCTAGTGTTCATGCACAACTTGGTCAAGAGGTTCAAGTGGGAGAAGATTCTTCCCGATGAGAAGATCGTCGTTGACCCTCTCCCCATGCCGGCCAAGGGCCTCCCCGTCCGCCTTTTTCCTCACAAAAAGTCCGCTTAACTTCACTTGAAAGGGCTGGCTGCCTACCTTCCTTCCTTCCATGTCTATTTAATTATCTAGATAAGTTGCAGATGTATACATAAAACAATCCAACCAGGCTTTGGTTCTTATTTTTTTGGGATCCTTTTCTTTTTCTTGGTTATTGTTGTATTTGTTCTTCATGTCCACTGTACGTGTTTAATCAGGGCTAAAGCTTGTATAATGGAGAAATTAAGAATTAATAATAAACATATTGTTAACAACGCAGCTTCCTAGTGCCGTCTCCATCATGTTCACGATCGATCGGCAAGATATTATATACAATAACTAATGTACACAACTGTTTACAAGTTGTTAAAAGTCATTGCTTTTAGATATCAAAATTCAACAAATGAATCATTTGTACGAAATATAACCATTTTGGAGGTAATTAAAACATATGTCACCATCATATATGTATATACTACAGGCTAACGGTGGTTGGTACACTCGCATAATTAGACCAGGTCAGGTCAAAGTGCGCATGCTGCTGCAGCAATACAACATTCAAAAATTGCATTGCATTTCCATTACAATAGGAAGATTGACTAATGATCCTCAATTTCTGCCACGACTTGTTTTTCATTGGAAATCAATCTGATGAATTTAAGATGCCCTCTCCAACTTCCAAGTCCACTTCTTTTTCAGTCTTTTTACCTTGCAATATCCTTCAATCAAAAAACATTTTTGCATAAGACTTCCTGAACCCCGACTCATCTCGAGTCGAGATGCTTCCTTTTTACTAACGCATACATAACAAAGCAGCATTAAATTATAGGAAGCCACTAGGAGTCCTTTCTCTCTTCTCAGATTTAGGAACTCCTAGAGATCTCCTCATTTTAGAAGGTGGATAGGGAGTATGGTTGGAGTTGTATTTCTACAATGTCTCCCTAAAATTTGTCTAAGGAGGTGGTTTAGAAAGCCCATTGTAAATGCTCTAAGTGGTTAGGTTTTAACTTTTTTTTAAATTATGATTTTGGTCTTGTAGTTTATGGGAGAGCTTCTACTTTAGTCCATATAGTTTCAAACTGTTATAATTTAAAGACAATATGGTTTAATTCCATCAATTTATCTTTATGAAATTAGTAATTGAGTGGCACATGTGAGGTGCTTTACACCTCCAAAAAGTTGGATTTATCATCACATATGCCACCCACGAGTCAAGTGCGACGAAATATAAAGCCATTATCCTTGAATTGCAACAAAATATTAAGTCACAATAATTGAAACTACTCAACCAAGGACAAAAATCACAATTTGATCTTTTTGGTTTTAATTCTCAAGTTTTAGGCTAATGCACACCCAAAAACGAAAAGACAAACATCTTATTTATGTGTTGTAAATCGTTTAGTTTCAAGTTCTCTTTCAAGAATTATTCATGCAAAAAAATAACCTAAATCGGTAATTATTTAACCATTTTATTAGCCACATTTTCTTTTCAGTTTTTCAAACAATTTTTAGTTGTTATAGATTTTATATGACCATAACACTTCGGATCTGGATGATTGCTAGTATAACTTAAAATATAGACGGTTTCAACCATTGAAATACATTATTGAGTAGCCCTAAGAAGAATGTGTGCACTTTTCTGACAAGAAGGAACTCTTAACACAGAGAAATTATATATGCATTCACAGCTTAATCGATGAAGACTTGTTTTTAATTTTCTTGTCAAAATTATTAACAGGGAATATTAAGTTGAATCACAATTTTGGAACCTGGAGAGACAATTGAAATGAAACTGGTGGAGTAGGAGTAGAAACCGGTTGCAATCGTAAATAAATGCACCTCCTTCCTTGGTACGTGGTTGGTTGGTGAGGCTTAGCTGTAGAGAGAGAGAGAGAGAGCACCAGAGACACATGTCATTGCTCCCCTTGAGCAGGAAACCCGAGCTTCCTGTTTGCTTTCCTTTTCTGATGATGCTGATGATTATGAACAAGAGTGAGCAAGTGACCGATCATTCTGGGCATTACCTACATTGGCGGCAACAGTTCATTTAAATCGATCACAAATAGTCCTCTTGATTCTTGCCACGTGCCTAGTAGAAAAAACTTGTTGGTTGGTTGAGGTTTTATGATCGACTAAGACAATCTTTAAATGCATTAATTGCATACCTGTTTAGATTAGTAGAAAAAAACAATAGAAAGAACAGATTGCAATTCTGGTATTAATTCCTGGAACACAACTCTCCTTTTTTTTCATTTTTTGCAGCCTAACTATTTATACATAATCTAAATTTAATCATATAAACAGAGGTGAGAGAGATTAAAAAGGGAAGAGAAAATCTTGTGTAATATTGCATTTTTCTTGATTTCCTTATTGATCTACCTCCCAAATGGGTAACATCACAAATTCTTCTATTACCCAGCCGCCAATAGAAAACCAGTAAACAACTCTAAAATTACAACCACTAAGGCATCAGACATAGTATACAGACACCCCACCACAACCTGCATTCATCCAACTACTTCCACATCGCCAAAAACCATCTACCCTGAAACAAAACAATGAAAAAGAAAAACGGAAAGAAAAAAAATAATACAAAATGGGTGTCACCAAACAGCCTTCCTGCCCAGCATGCCTGTAGTACCACCACCTAATGACTCTCAACGATTTACCATGAAAAAAAAATACAAAAGAAACGGGAAAATTACGGAGTCAGCTTGGAGGCCTGACTGCTCGAGATGACCAAATTACCACCTCAAACTTCGTCAGTTAGTGAGCAATTCATAAAATCACAATGGTACAGTAGAGTGCTGTCACCACATGCATCTAAAATGCCTAGGCACTTCCAGTTGATACAACTGAGGCTGCCTTCTTGTCAACAGACCCGCTGTGGTGTCCACCACTTCTTTCAGATTGTCCTACTATTTCTTTATCACCCTTTTCCAACTGCAATACTTGAGATAAGCTATCGGACATTTGGTCTACAGAATCATGTTCAAATATAGCTGAAGCATCTGTTTTTGAGCTAATGTTAAGCTCAGTTCCTGAGACTTCTTCACTACTATTTCCTTTCAACTTCAGGGCTTCATCAAAACTATTAGAGATTTCCTTAACAGAATCAACAGCAAGTGAATCAGAACCATCTGTAGTCGAACAAGCTTGTTGTCTAACTTTCCTTTCCTTCAAGGATTTTTCCCGCTCATCATAAAATTCGAAATCATCTATAATAGATGTCCGTGCATCATAATCGCTGAAAATTTTCAACAGCTCAATACCCTGTTTCAGATTCACCTAACAATATTTCACCATCAAGAAAGAAAATGTCAGGCAGATGTAAACTCTAAATCAGCAGACAAGCCAAACGTAGACAAGGAGGTAAAAGGAAACAGATTGAATGCATTATGTAAGAAATGTGTACTACAAAAAATAAAATAAAAATTGTGACTGATGTCAGGACTGAGATTATCGTTTCAATCACTTCATACTAGATAAACCTTAGACTAGGCAAAAACCCAGAACTTCCAGCCTACCTACAAAAAGAAACAGTTTGGAAAGCCATTTTTTAAAATGAAAGATGCATAAGTTAAGACTGCTCATTACCACTAGATAAGCCTTTCCAACTCCACTTCAAACTTGGCGTGTTTATTCTTTAGCCGAGATACATGCATTGATATGTGTAAAATGATTTTTTTTAACCACTCTAGTTAATTCTGAATTTGTGAAAGATACTTCTTTTTCATTTCTAGGTTTTGGGGTTTGAACCCAAATTATAACTCTCTTTTTATCTAGTCAGATGGTTTAGGTTGACAATCCACAACTGGGTATGCACCCAGGTGCATACCCAACATGATCCACCCCACTTGAAGGGGGATTGAGAGGACAGGGTAGCTCCTAAAATAATGCTATCATGAAAAGCATGAAATTTTCCAGCAAAAGGCCATATATAACGCATGATGCCTGCAATACATCATACTTTCAGAATGACCTGCACATATGAGACCGTAAACAAATTTTGATTTGGTCAAACATCACGCAGCAAGGGTTGTGTTGCATAAGAGCAATATTTTTTTTTTTCTGGAAACAAGATCAAACTTTTTGTGACGACAAACCATGACGCCGAAACACTGTTAAATTGACTATCATAAATGACTTATAATCCTGACATTATTCAAACATGTGACTTTGAATTCTACAAAAAATGCATGCGAAATTTTTTACAAAAATGAAAATAATCCTACTAGCTTACCAAATCACCCACCCACAACTGAAATCTTCATTAGTTAGTATGCATGACATAATCCTACTAGCCTACTACATCTTCAATATATTGTGTTTTCACACTAAAAGTGAAATTTTAAAAACCCATATATTCACAACTGTGAAACTTTTAAAGCCCAAGGCAATCAATCAAACCTATCAAATATTAATATATGATCATCTGAAATTTCATTGAGTAAACAAATTCCAATATAATGAAAAACATCAACCAAGAAATGGCTTTCTCTATGGTCGAAGTGGAAACAGAAACCATATAATAAATGTCAAGGTATTAAAACCAAATCTAAGTTCTAAACAAAAATGGAGTTTTTGTTTCTAAATGAAAGTCAAAGAGATGGAGAGAGATATACTACCTCCTGACAATCTCGGCTGTGAGTGACAGGCTTATTGTCATTATTTTCAAGTAGAATGTGACGAAACCGAATGTTAGGAACATCCTTAATAATATGCCACTGAACTGGAAATTGCCCACTCCACCTATCTTGCTGCCAGTAATCAGCATCCTTCTCAAAATCTACAGATCCAACCATTTCGGCTACCCCGCAAAACTGTCCACTAGCATTAACCTGTTGTAACCAACAAACTCTAAGAGGACTGAGATAACAAAAGGGCGAATATAAAATAGTTTAAGCACAGGCAACAAGTTACTTGTAAGTACCCATAGTTTCAAAAAAAAAACATAAGGCCTCGTTCGTTAGGGAGGACTAGACTAGACTAGCAAAATGCCTACACTTTATGTGCGCAATCAACACATAATATGGACATTGTTGTCTAACTTGGAGGATGAAGGAGGACTATTCATAAGAGGTTGATGACTAAACTTATCCCTCATAATCCCACCATTTTCAAGGGGATTAGGGGGGACAAGTTTTAGTCATCAACCTCTTATAGATAGGCCCCATTCTTCCTCCAAAGTTAGGCAACATATCAATATTATGCCTTGAATGCACATGAAATATAGGCATTTTGCTAGTCTAGTCTCCCTATCAAACAAGCCCTAAAAGTCAGCTTATTTCTTGGGCTGGCATGAAAACTCCTACTGTTTCAACGGGAAGAGATGGGAACAGAGATTTACAGAACTAATTCCATAAGGACTAGTGCCACACAGAGACCATGAATCCATACAGTTATTAGGTCCAAAGAATGAAATATAAAAGAAACTGCAGTCATCTCCATGAATCTCAAAGAGAGAAGCACTAATATGCTTGCCACATCAAACTTTTTTTTATCACCAGGCTCTAAATGGGAATCAATACCCAATTAGTATCTTTCTACCTTATACTTTGTGGTGCTGATATCAATTATGTACACAACACAAAACCACCCCAAATTTCAACGAGGATACCCTTGGGCCAGTTGCTCAAACAATTAGGAAATTAACAAAAGGAGCATACCGAAAAGAATAAGAACACCGGGCAGCTGCCTTTTATCCTCTGTGCCTCATGATAAGCAGCATCAAGTTTCTTGTTTCCATGGGGCGTGCTGGCCCAAACACTATATTTAATACTTTTATGAACATTGTCCTCACTGAAAGACTTAATGATAAAGAACTTTGCATCCTTGTAATCCGTGACAAAATCCAGCCGGTTAAATGAATCAAGGTTAATTCCGGAAGCAGATAGTCCCATTTTCTTAGCACTAAATGAACTCTGGTCGGAAGCATTCTTTCCCTTCAGCTTTGAAGCCCTTGGTCCTCGATTACGGTCATTGAAGCCATCATGTGAACTATTGAAAACACAAATTGAGTCCCAGTCCCTCTCTCTTCTTCTGCTCTTGTCAACAGTTAGTCGGTTCCGGTCATTACCAAATGAATAAGAAAGGGAAGCATCACCAAAGTTAGAGCTTTGATAAGAACTACCATGAGGATAGCGTCCAGTATATGAACTTGATATCAATCCAAATCCATGCGCCGGCCCCTGTTGATGAGAAATCTGAAATTAAATCAGTCATCTATTAGTCATCCCCATAAATAAAACATGACCAGCTGACATAGCTAAGATACGGTTTAGAAAGAAAAATCTATACTTGATAGAGGGAATGCATAAATATTAGCATAAATATAAATGATCAACATTGTAAAACCCAAATTGAGATCATTTAGAGCAAAAGGTTATGAGCCTTAAGAATGAATCTTCAAGTATGGTTAGAATTTCAACTATTCAAGAAAAGTTTACCCATGGATGGGCAGCATATGGTCTTATCTTACAAGCAGCATGAGTGTAGTAAGTTTATATTTACTAAGGAAACATCGGTCACCTAAATCTTGTATGGCAAGGCCCTTTCAAGAACAAGAAACATGATATGTTTTATTTGCCTATCAATTTAAAGGCCCAGTAAAAGAAAATAGCAAGAACTGATTTGATTTGTTTGGTGTCTTATGTAACTAATTTAAAGCTACCAAACCCCTAAAAGTTTGAATCACATCCCTTGTGATATTTCAAATGAAGAAAATAATATTAGGTGAAAAAAAAAACATTTATTATAAAAAGTTTCACAAGAACAAATAAAATATTGGCCAGGGTTTCTACTCAAAAACCAGGAAAACAACCGCACATCATTACAATGAACCTGTGACTCGTTATCTATTTTTCTTACGACAACACCCATTTCTTTTTCAACCTCTCTCCCACATTTCTATCTATGAAGCGCCCACAGGATACCTGGGGATAAAAATAACTACAAACACCCACACCCACACCCCAAAAGAAAAGGAAAAAAAGTGCATATAGCATTAATGCCATTATCTCTGAAATCTTGAATGATGCCAAGAACACATGGGTAGTGTGGCAATAACAGTGGAGAGAACAATAGTAATCACATGGGGAATGATAACTATAATATATATCATTAAAATAAAAAATAAAAAAAAATGCCTCCTATGCTGGAACTACATAATTATGCCCAAAGTTGTGTTCATTAGTTAAGTTTGAACAAAAATATACTACTAACAGTGTATCAATTCTTCCGGTCTAGAAACATCTCTTTACCATGGAATGAAAATAGTGAATATTAAATAAAAACAAACCTGCCCAACACCGTGTTCATATGACCCAAGAATGCCCATTGGTGGAGGATAAATTGCTGGAGATGCTAAGGCACTAGAACCAAGATGTCCAGACGAATCTCCTCCGCTAAATGATCTAAAATTTACGAAGTAACCTGATCCTGGCCCAAAGGCCATGTTGTCAGTGCTATTACTTTCTGATGTCATCAGCTCAGTTGGTGAAACTGGAATAGCTGAAGAAATATGAGACATACTTGGAGGAGATGGCTGAGGGTAATAAGATGGAGAGAAAGGGACCTGTTGCGTGGAGTAAAGTTGGCCATCTACCATTACAGAAGGCAAAGGTGTAGCGACTGGTGAATATTGTCCATATGCAATTTCAGGATTGAAGCCATAACCAGAGTGAAACAGAAGAGATGGATTATCGTTGTAAATGACCTAAAAATTCAAGAGAAAGAAAACAAAAATAAGTTTGACTCAAAAGGAAATCTGAAGAATTTCACAGGTGAAGATTATACTCACTGGTGATACAACATGCATTCCATCGGCATTAAGATACTGAGAATATCCATCCCAAGTACCAGTGTTACTGCCATAACCTGAAACCAGTCCAAACTTTAAAATAAGATCACCTATGATTTTTATTATATACAATGTGAAGAGTAGCTGAACATTGTTATCATCATCAATATCTTGTCACACTGAATTTTATGTGTCAATATCAAACATAGTTCACGAAATTCACGAAATTTCCAAAAAAAAAAAAAAAAAAAAATGGAAATTTATGGTCAAAATGCAATGGGTTAAATTGCAAGGGAAACGCAAGGAAACAATGAGATTTTACAGGAATCAGGACTGACTTCTAACATCAACCACCACTATTTAGACCTTCATAATCCTCCTAAACCAATGACAGCAGAAAAGGGTCAACAAACTAACCACCATATGAAATGCTCTGTTCTTGAGATGCATTCAAATTAAGCGGATGGGGGGTGCTACGTTCTCCACCAACATCTGAAGACTTGGGTTGTTCTGCAGCATCAATTGAAGGCCCTGTGATGACTGCAGCAGGAGAAGGATTCACTGAAACTATTCTTTCATCTTCGGAAGAAACTGGCTGAAAATAAATTACAAAATTAATGAAACACAGTTACCAAAGCCTTCAAAAGTAAACAGAGACAACAGTATTAACGAATACACGACCAAGTACCTGGTCTTTCACCATATCTGACTTAACAGGTCTCTCTCCTGCATCCAGAATTGATATTTAGTATCTCAGACGAACAACATATGCAGAGATGTTGGAGAAAGTTGGAGAAAATTGGAAACAGCAGGTATATACCACAGAAACAAAAATTATAATTTAACAAAAAGGTCTACCCCTGCGCACATCCAACATTCCACCCTCACAGAGGATGGGAGCGCAATCACACAGAATGCAGATTGTTCAAACCCATGGGCAACTTACCCCTAACAAACCAGCTTGTCAGGAAAGGGTAATAGAGATTTCAGATACCAGTTATTCAAGGTGTTCAACTTTCTCAATGTGGGATATTTGGATTTTAGTATGCCAACATGCTTCCAGAGATTGACATCCTCTTTTAGGGAACTTCACTCCCCAATGGGTCATTGGTTGCCCCTAACCTCTCTTAGGCAACTCCACTCACCAATGGTACCGCTCCTTTCTTTTAGATAGCTTCACTCCTCCAACTGTAACACTAACCTCTCCAAGTACCTCTACTCACCAATGCTAACTCTCTCCTTACTCAAGTAGCTGTACTCGCTCATCAATCCAAAAGTATACAAGAGCAAGCAATATTTACATCTTAGCAATATTGATCGAGTGCAAAAAAACTCATGCCAAGGGAAGGAGCTGAAGATCTGAACATGTGTCATGTTTTCAAATGAAGCACATAATACACCAACTGTTGACAATGAAGAGGGCTTTCTATTTCAGTCAGTTGCTTGCAGCGTACTTTAAAACCATAACTCATACAGAAGCAGTTGCATTATTAAACTGAACAAAAAAAATTCTTTAGGGGGGCCAAAGCATATTTCTTCATAAATGAATTTCAGGCACCCGAATAATGGAGAACAATGGTGGGTCACCAATTTCATTACAGAAGGAGATTCCAGTGACTTGTGTTCCTAATAATCCGCTCTTGGCCATTTGGCACAATAACAGTACCCAGAAACACAAAACCCTATTTTAGGGTTTGGGGAATCAAGATTCAACTAAACCACAGGGAAACCCCAAGAGCGTGACCAGAAACATAATGCATTCGGCACTAAGTGCTTAAAGCTACATGTGGCAATGACCCAATAAAGAATTCTCATCAAATTAAAGAAAAACACAACCTGGGAATTACCAAAAATTCACATAAATGCTAGGAATAAAACAGCAACCCACAAATTCTTATTGCAAAACAACAAAAACGAAGAGAAAAACAAAGATGGATTTTGCACAGGCACACACATAAAAATTTAAATTTAAAAAAAACAGCACAATAATATCACATATTTCTCCCCAAAAACAAACAGATACCAGTGGAGACGATGCGATCTTGGTCGTCCTGATGCTTGTCCATATATGAAAGATCTATGCGAAACAACAACGAGGAAAAGTTTCGAAAAATTTAAAATCAAAGGAAGAATTTAAAACGAAAGTAAGAATGAGAAGATGTTTGGGGGGAGAGGGGGGTTTTGGTGTTTTGAAAGAGGGAAAAAAATAGAGGGTTTTAGGTTTCATGTAAGGACGATTCCATTGGGAAGTACATATGTATATATGTAATTAATTGATAAATTGTATTAATTTGGATTTCGATTAAGGCGGTTTCCTTTTAAATTTTGGGAAATGATATGATAGGTTTAGGGGCTACGCTTGGTTTATAAAATTACGGACTAATTGCGATATACATCCTCAAGTTTTCAGATAATTTCAATTAGGTACATTGTGTGTTTAAAAAGTTACAGTATCGATACTATCGAACACAAATTAGGTTTCAGTTTCAAAAGTGGGGCTCCATCTCCATGTAAACATTATCAAAATTAATGGTCAAGTTAACTTTGCTGCATTGCCCCAAATATAAATTATCTAAATACTATACGATTTTTCAAAGCAATTTGCTTTTATATTTCTCACAAAGACAAAAATTTGGCGTTGTCACTATGCAACAGCTAAACAACCGTGTGATGAATAGGGTAAATTAAAAATTTTGAACTTGCAAATAAAAAAAATAGGGTAAATTTTACTTTACTACTCGAAAGTTTCCCGAAATTCAGACTTTGCTATACGAAGCTTTTTTCATCTTAGTCTTTGCCTATACTTCGATTTTACTATCACTTTCATATCTCCGTTAGTTTTCCTCTCAAGTTTTCCGTTAACGTGACATTCATAGCTTTGTGTTGACCACTGAATTTGCACCAATTGGACCAATAAACAATTAAAAATTTGTATTATTTGTTATGAACAAATAAAATTAATAAAGTTAAATTTTTAAAATAAAATGTACAAAAAATAACATTAGAAAAAGTAACAAAAACTAAAACTAAAAACAAGAACATTCAAACCAAACCTAGAAAACCCTAACCCCATCCATCTTCCCCAACCACATTTGGATTAGGAGGGCGAAAAATGCAAAATCTATGGCACAACAACAGCCGCTTGGCCATAATAGCATAATTTGGACTAGGATACTAAAGGTAGATCAATCAAAGTTGGAATTTCCCTATGAATTTGAATTGGAATCCCAATCTCCATCATCGTCAACTCGTCATCGCTATTGCCCATCAGAGACCCTCACGTTCGCATGGCCACTACTCATTGGAAGTCCTCACACTTGCATCGTCATGTATGTGGCCATGGTTCACACATGCCTCGCCTTATCTCTAGCCCTCGGTTACTATGAAAAACCAAGAAATTCTTCGGTGTTGAGTCGAGAAAGTTGGCGAAGCTACTGTTCGAATCTTGGAGGGGAATGATAGAGGAAAGAGAAATAAGTGTTTTGGTAGTAAAGTGGTTATTAGTGGTGGTCAGAGTTGGCCAGTCTGGGCTTTGAAATTTTTGGCAACTGCTATAGTTTCGGGGCTTTATTTTCACCGATCGAGGGGTGCAATTTGTAGAGGAGGAAGAGAGGAACGATTTGAGGGTTGTGACATTAGTGGCCGTGATAGGACGACGAAGATTGTAGGCCTGGAAAACTTGAAGGCATTGGGTGCGCAACAGTTTCTTCTCATTGTTTTCACATGATACATGACATGACACTAAGAGAAGTGTTTTTGTTTTTGTTTTTTTTTTTTTTTTTTTTTTTTTTTATTTTATTTTTTATATATTTGATTTTAAAATTTTAACTTTAATTAATTTTAATTATTTATAAAATAATACAAATTTTTAATTGTTTAGTGGTCCATGTGGCACAAATTCAGTGGGTCAATGTGGACCTATAAATGTCACGTCATCGTTTAATAGAAAACTTGACAGTCAAACTAGCATAGGTATGAAAGTGGTAGTAAAATTAAAGTTTAGGCATGAGACAAACGAAAAATACTTCATGCAGCAAAGTCTGAATTTCGGGAAATTTCCGAGTAGTAAAATGAAATTTACCCAAAACAATAACTTTTTCATCACAAATGGTCCTTTATGTTCACAAAATTATAACCTTTCATCCTTTTTTTTTATTGTGACATGGTTGTCCTTGAGGTTACTCTATGTCTATGTTGCACGGATACGTCGATACGATACGATTCACTAATAGAGTGAAATTCCAAAAATTAGGATATGGGTACGGCACTGATACGGTGATTAAAATAACATATATTTAAAAATTAATATTGCATCCATCATAAGTTGAAAACATAAAACTAAACACAAAATACAAGTCTCCATAAACAAAACACAAGTCTTCATGAGATTGTTCAAATCATAAATAATACTAAAGGAAGCAACACAAAACAAATTAAAACATTGAGAAGCCACTTTCCAAATCTCTAACTTCATTCATCATTGTCATCATAGGTAAATATGATAGCTTCTTATTCCTTCTTCCTATTTCTTCCTCTTTTCTAGTTATTCTCCCCCAAATGAAATGAAGACCTAACTTCTATCAAGAATAAGAGGTTGGGCCTTTAAAATTAACATTATCGAAAAATAGTAGGAGTATCAGCATATTCGATACAAGTATCGACATATCTAATACGAGTATAGGAGTATCGACAAGAGTATTGGAGTATTGATAAGAGTATCGGATTATGAGTATTAGTGCAACATAACTCTATGTACATCAATTTAGTCATGACGTTAGTCTGCGTTAAGTTTTTTGTTGAATTGCTGACGTGACACATATGCGGAGCCCACACATCCAATGATATAAAGATATGTAACTTTAAATAAAAATGTTAATTTATTTAAAACTTAAAAACCATAAAAATGTTTAAAATTTTGAAAAATCATTTTTTTTAAGTAAAAAACCAGAAGGAGAGGGAAGAGAAAGAAAGGCAGATAGTGGGTCAGTGTGATGACCTAGGTTTTACGATCTATGGGACATGACTACTACTATATTTCTTGTGCATTCTATTTGCGTAATTGTCGTTTGAATGTGTTATATGCTAAGTTTCATTGACTTTTTATTTCAATTTTACAATTTTATGATTTAAGTGTTTGCTTATAAGTATATTTTAATATGGTCAAAAGCCAACTCCAATTACCTATGTGTTTTAGTTCTGAAATGCTCGAAGTTTATATGAAAACTCCATCATTATCACCTACCTGGTTAGGTGTCATGTTTATCAATCAAGCAGCTCATTGTAGGACATATTGCATATGAGGAAATCTCTCGAAGGACCTAATACAGGTTACTTGGTGGAGTGCGGGTTCGTACTTATTATACTAACATGTATTGTTAGTCCCCTAATGCCTGAATTTATGTTGGTATGGTTGGATAGCAGTGGCCTTTTGGAATGTGGGTGACTAATATGCATACTCCTTTTATTGGTCCTATGTGTTGATCATATTTGACAAGAAACTTGTTTTAAGAACTTGTAACTTAATTATCTTTCTTGGTGCACAATTAATGTATTCATTGTTAGCTAATGTTGTTCACATGTGTAGGAAAATGTAAAAACTTTCGGGCTCCATACATTAGTATATGGGCCTATTATGTGCTACCCGTTGGTCCATTATATATTAATGGGAAACTTAATGTGATTGATAACTATATAATATGTGGGCCCAATATCTACTATATGGTGGGTTCTTAGTATTGGGCTTGAATTGTTCCTATTTGTGTTGGTATTAAGTTTTTCCTTAATGGTGGGAAACCTAATTGACACAATATATAAGTAGGGCCCCCTCACTAGCAGCCGCACTATTTAAGTTATCCCATTGCAGCTGTGCATACTAAAGACTCATTTGGGACTATTTCTATAGGAAGCACTTTTACTTATAAGTGCTTATACCAAAAGCGCTTTTATTATAAAGACATTGAAATTTTCATAAGAAACCGAAGTGCTTCTTGGAAAAGCACTTGGGAGTGCTTCTTGAAGAAGTACATGATAGGTGCTTCTTCAGAAAGCGCTTATATGGCCCAAAAGCGCTTCTAAACTTTTCTGTCAAACGCTGTTAGAAGCGCTTTTGATTGTCAGAAAGCGCTTTTAACTGTTCTAAAAGCACTCCCAAACGAGCCCATAGTGCGGAAAACCATACTTCTACTTATGGTTTATTCAAGATGTATGCTGCTTCATAGGTTAGTATTTTATGTTGTTTATATATATATATATTTATTGGGACTTACACCATTACCATCCCCATTAAGTTTTTTTTAGTTTTCTTATTTCCATCTTCATATCCGTAATATTGAAATTGGGGATTCATCATCCCTGCCTTCGTTGAAAAAGGGGTTCCATGCCTCGCCCCATTACAACAATACTAATAAAAAAAATGTATGAAAAAATTGGAACTATTGGATTAGAGCAACAAACAAAACAAAAGTTTTGTCTTTTACTTATATTATTTTATATGTATTATTTGATGTAACATATTATAAAATATGTATTATTTGATGTAACATATTATAAAATATGTATTATTTGATGTAACATATTATAAAATTTGTGGAATATAAAATTTATTGGGAGCCATGAGACACAACTAAAAGACACTTAACAATATTTTCATATGTGGAATCTCTATATATAAAGCAAAATGTAAAGAATGGTGAAACATTCAAAATACCAAAAAATACCCTTGATTAATGCAAACATTAAAAATTGAAATTATTAATTAAATGAGGATAATATGGTAAATTCACACTTTTTCATATTAAAAAAAATTAAAATTAAAAGAAAAATCAGATAATGGATCCTATTTTTATGGAACACAACTACCCATTATCTTTTTTAATTCTAAAATAAATTTAAATTTTTTAAAAAAAAGCCCCTCGCAGGCGCGGAAGCGTGTGCGGAGAGACTAGTATAAATAATATATATGTATGTATATACCAAACTAGACGGGTTTGAGTTGATGATTAGAACCATCCCTGCCCTGCTCCGAACATCATACATGAAAATTTGAAATTTCTTTGAATCCGTCCCCGAACCCAATTTTTATCTTTCATACTCGATCTATTAGCAGCGAAGTTCTGTGAAAACCCTATCTCATAGAGAAAATTGCCATGGATATTTTCATTAATTTATTGGGTGGGAAGAAAATATAATTGGGTTCGCATAAAATGTCTCTTTTTAAATTTATAGGACCGACCAATGATGTCTAGTTCAATGAAAAAGGCCTTAACTTGCATACTAGTGGTTTTAGGTTCAAACCCCCAAGTCTTATACAATTTTTCTTCAAGTAAGGGTCTTCGACCCTAATGGGTCAATATGAAGGATAAAAAAAAGGGGTATGAGGACTGATTCTAGGATTTTTGCAGGTATGGTATTTGGGGAGGGGCATGAATGTTATTCTAATCCCCGACTGACCCAAACCCGCCTCATTTAGAATATATATAATTTATATTTCATAGAAATATATTATTAAGATGTGTGATGCTGATGCTACCTCTATAATGAAATTGAATTGATACATCTCTTGTGCTCGTAGTGCTTTTTTTTCTCGTTTAACAAAGTAATTTTTATTGATTTTTTTTTTCTTCTTGTAATGGGGTCCTCAACAAAGGTGGGATGGGGAATTCTCGATTTGAATATTGTGGGTATGAAGGCGGGAATGAGGAAAAATGTTTAACGGGGATGAGGAGAAACACTTACATGAAATGGGAAGAACACTATTTTGCTATCCTCGGCCAATCACAATATGTCAAACATGATAACTTTTCCACATGACAAACTGTGATTTGTCAAGGATAGCAAAACAATACTATTGCTGTTTTATACAAGTTTTTCTACCCCGATTGAAACCAAAATCCCTTCATTTATAGTTTAGACTAGCTTGTAAAAAAAAAAAAAAAAAAAAAAAAAAATGCGCTAAAAAAGCGTTGGAAAAAAAAGAAACGATTTGGATTCTTCCCGAGTCTCCCAATTATCCAATATCAACCAACATACCGAGGTACATGTATAAATACATAAATAAAGTTGCTCTCTTTACTCAACCCTAGTTCTTTAGCAACTTGCATGGTGAGGGACATGAGATGGCTTTCTTCTTTAGCTTCTAGGGCCTCACCTGCACTCAGAAACCTCCCCGAGCAAGCTCAGAGAGAATCCTCATCAAAAAACAAACCCAGAAAAGTTCTGAATCAAACACCTTCTGACAACGTTGGAGCTCCTCTTAAAGGTAATTCTCCTAAACCCAACTTTGAGCCTCAAAATCCTAATTTAGTTTCCATTTCAACGAATCCCATTTCAGCTGTTAATAACAAGTTTCGTGTTGATAATAAACGAATTGATCACCTATACATCGCTCAAATTCTTTCACGGAAGGACTGGTTTTTATTGCTGGACCACGAGTTGAAGGCCAAGAGGATTTTTTTAAATCCCCAGTTTGTTGCTAGTGTCTTGCAAAACCAAGAAAGCCCATTGCATTCTTTGAAGTTTTACATATGGGTTTCGAGTACCGACTCGTTATTCGCAAAGAATCAATCAGTTCGTGGTGTTTTAGCCAAGACCTTTTACCGTAAAGGCCCAGTTGTATTGTCTGTTGAATTGCTAGAAGATATTAAGAATTCAGGTTTTAAGGTCAGTGAAGACTTGCTTTGCATATTGATCAGCAGTTGGGGTAGGTTGGGTTTGGCAAAATATTGTGCTGAGGTTTTTGGGCAAATATCTTTTTTGGGTCTTAGTCTTAGCACAAGATTGTACAATGCTGTGATCGATGCTTTAGTCAAGTCCAATTCACTTGACTTGGCTTATCTAAAATTCCAACAGATGCCCGCGGATAACTGCAATCCCGATAGGTTCACTTACAATACCCTCATTCATGGAGTTTGCAAGATTGGTATTGTGGATGAGGCACTTCGCTTACTCAAACAAATGGAGGGCTTAGGGTATTTGCCTAATGTTTGTACGTATACTATCCTCATAGGTGGGTTTTGTAATTCAAAGAGGGTTGACGAAGCCTTCAGGGTTTTGGAGATAATGAAGGAGAAGCATGTGTCCCCTAATGAAGCTACTATCAGATCATTGGTTCATGGGGTATTTCGTTGCATGGCCCCTAGCAAGGCTTTTGAGTTGTTATTGACTTTTTCTGAAAGGGAGTCTGTATTTTTTAAAGTAGCTTGTGATACCATACTGTGTTGCCTTTCAAATTATAATATGGCAAAAGAGATTGCTCTTTTTTTGAAGAAATCTGGTGCAAGAGGTTATTTGCCTGACAGTTCGACATTCAACATCATAATGGTTTGTTTGATAAAGGAATTAGCTAATCCTCAGAATGAGGTCCAGGAAATATTTGAAAGTTTTATACAGCGAGGAGTGAAACCAGGATTTAGTACTTATCTTCAATTGATTGAAGCTATGTACAAGGCAAGACAAGGTGATGAGGGGAATCGAATCTTTGATCAAATGATCAAAGAGGGACTTGTGTCAAATGCCTTCTCATACAACATGGTAATTGATTGCTTCTGCAAAGCCAAAATGATGGACAGGGCATCAAAGGCTTTTGGAGATATGCAGCGCAAAGGTATTCCTCCTACCCTTGTTACTTTCAATACACTTCTTAATGGATACTGCAAGGTTGGAGAGGTAGGTAAGGCACATGAACTATTGGCATTGCTCTTGGAACATGGGTTTAAGCCAGATACGTTCACTTTTAGTTCAATAATTGATGGTCTTTGTCGGGTGAACCAGATTGATGATGCTTTTGAATGTTTTGCTGAGATGATTAGGTGGGGGGTCACTCCAAATGCCATCACATACAATATATTGATACGCGCTCTGTGTTTCATTGGAGATATTGCTAGATCTATGAGACTAATGAAAAGAATGGAGGCAGATGGAATAAAACCAGATGCTTACTCGTTCAATGCTCTTATTCAATGTCATTGTAGGATGAACAAGGTTGAGAAAGCAGAGGAACTTTTTCTTGCTATGTTAACACTGGGTTTGAATCCCGACAATTATACGTACAGTGCTTTTATCAAGGCATTGTGTGATTCAGGAAAACTTGATGTGGCGAAGGAGATATTTCTCTCTATGGAAGCATATGGTTGTTTTCCTGATTCTTCTATTTGTAATATAATTTTATATTCACTGGTTCGGAATGCCCGTGTAGAAGAGGCCTGTAGTATAATAAAATGTTTTCACAGGAGGAAATAAATTCCTAATTTGTAGGGTAAGGCTATCGCCAGTCCATGTGTTTTATGCTGCTCTGTCGATATGTTTGCTCGGAAGACATGTCCATCAGTAGCACAAGAGGATGATGATTTGCGTAATGCATTTTGGAACCAACTGTATCCTGGGTATGTAGCAAGAGACTCCATTTCATCTCCTTTAAATATAGTCGTATTTCTCTTCTTAATAGAAAACCTAGTCTTGAAGATAAGTAGCATTATTTTTGGTGTATGCGCTCTCAATTGTTTCCTTGTCTTCAAGCAGAATTGTGCCCCATATTTATCTCAATTTTAAGTTGCATTAATGTATCCTGAAATCATTTCTTTTTTCTTATTCTATATTACTTGAATTTTGACATCATGTGTACTTTGTGTGATTTTTTTACCAGGGAGATGGAAAGTCAGCAAAATTCAGATGTTTCGACTGTTATCCATAGGAGGAGGCATTAGTACAGTACAGGAGCAAAGACAGATGATGCAGGACAGAGAAAATAATAGGAGGGAGGGGAAGAACAAAGATAAAAGAGAGGGTTTAGAAGAATGAGGGGGTGTAGAGACAAGTAAACTAAACAATAGCCTATGTACAAGGCATCACTTGTGGACGTGGCAGTATTGCTGCTAAATTTTTCACCTCAACTTCAAACTTTTATCTGCCACCAAGAAAAAGCTTAAAATTGACATAAATTCAAGTTGTGAGAACAGCAGGATGTTTGAGTAGAATTTGGAAAGCTTGCCACAAGTAGATTGGACCCGTCTTTCTTTTTATTATGAAGTTGAATTGAAGAGGTTCTTGGCCATTCTGTGAAATGCTATTTATTTCGTTGTGCTCCTACCCTAGCAAACCCAGATGATTACATGTTTCTTAACCTCTGTTTATTAAACCTCTGTTGTAGGTATGTCAATCAGAATAAAAACAAATATATGCTCCTAAATTATTTCCACTAGTAGTCCTTGAGATGATTTGGCGGCTTAGGGGTCCTTTTGGACTCCCCTGACTTGGCACGCTAGTTGTCTTAAAGAGATGCTCCTGCATCAAATATGTATCGTCCTTGCATGGGACTTGAACTCGAATCTCCTCCAACTAAGTGAAGGCAACCACTACACCAAAGGCTACTTTGAGATTTGATTTGATCAAAGCTATTAATACAGAGACTGTTGTGTGATTTTAAGTTGTAATTTTCCTGTATTTTGGCATTAAATAAAATACAAATTTGAATTCCCATTTAGCTTGGCCCCCTTGCTTAGCATGCCAGTAACATATGCAAACTTCAAATTAAGCATATATTTAGGTTCAATCGTACACAGATCTTTTGTGGGTATGAATGATATCCCAACAACTACAATGTCCTATAATCTCACAGAAGAATAAAAACTTGAGAAACTGTTCATATTTATCATCAACATTTACAACACCAGATAAACCTCTATATACGGCAAATCGAGGAAAAAATCAAACAATAATAACTCAAAAAATGTAATCTTTGTGGTACATGCTATCTTGGTCAGAATTCCCTTAGAAGGCAGAGAAAACCCAAATAAAGAATTTTACTAGTGACGCTTCATTTCCCGGAATATGTTTGCCACCTTGGGGGACAATCTTGGTAGGAATTTAAACAACTGCACCGCAAATACAATGATAGACAAACATTAACAACAATATTAAAATGTAAAGAAGCTACAAGCACGATACATGTAAACTTGAATATCATGTGCACGTTCTTACATATTCTAATAGATCCTTCACAGGTTAAAGAAAGCACATCTCACTTCAAACGGTTTTCATCAGAAACCATATAAATAGAATCAATACCCTAAATTTTCTAACCGCACCATTTGTGGTTCTCTATTTGTATTAATATTTTCTTACAGCATTGCACTTGTAAATGACATATACAAGTTCGTTCAGATCTCGCAGTTGAACAAATTAGAGTAGAAGGTTTTGCAATGCTCAAACTAGTTCATAAAAGAAACAATTATAATGTAATAACATGCATACTTTTATACCAAAGAAGCATTCACATTCAGCTTATCTCAGTTCCTATTGGACAGATAGGCAGGACTCGGAGAACCATTTTTTTTTTGGGACGAAACTTGGAGAACCATATCATCTCAGTAAGACTCTACCTTTCTCTACTTAGTTGCTGAGCTCAGAGAGGGAATACCAAATATGTGGTAATTTAACAAGACTAGTGTAGTAGATTCCTGTCGTACCAGAGAGTACTAGAAATGCTTATGTCAGTATATAAAGTTAATGAATTTTGAGGTGGAATACAGCAGCTTTTTATCAGTATATAATAACAAGAAGAATATCTGTAGTTACATAATAATTAGTCTTTTTTCTAACCTGCTCAAGATTGCATTTTTGCAAAAGTCTGAGTTGGATAAGACTAGAAGATGGCTAGCCTAATAGTTATTTTATATTCTGACAATGTATATATTTCACTTAAGTACTTTTGGTAAATAACTGTGAGGCACAGTCAAAGTGAAATGAACATATAGAGAATTAGTGATAATCAGCCTTGGTATTTATTAGAGATAATTAGCCTTTTGGAGATGATATGTAAACCTATAGACATCTTTGAGTGGAGAGAAAGAGAGGGGATGCAGGTCTGAACAGTTTTGCAAGTCTTGGTAAGAACAGCCATGAAAAATATGAGTTTTACTAAAAACTGATATCACTATAATGTAGAGTAGAACATACCCAAAGTTTCACACATGCATCAATGACAACTGGAATCAGGCAGATAAAAATGGTTATGGCAGACTGATCAACATCAATCCCGTAATGCTCAACAAAAATTTCTAACAACGTCTGCCAACCAGACTCAGAATGATACCTGCAGGCATGCAGTTTTATACATCAGAAAGATTGATATGCACACATTTTTGTCACACAAAGATGAGTAAGATGACAATCACAGATATGAAACTGAAGAAATTAACTAAAATAACTGATGCCACCAGATGACTATCACACATATGAAATAATAAATACCATCATCCCCAAAGCTTCCCTAAATGACATCGTGCATCCACAACATGCCGCAGGGGTTTCTGCTGCCCCTGCTAAGGTACAACCTCACGACACAGCGTTGCAAATGCAAGACGTCCTGTAAGGGAATTTGCCCGTCCAACTACCAATTGCGTTGATCATGCGATTAAGTCAACTAGACCAACAACATTGTGAGACGTTGTGCATTATTATTGGTAGGTTTGTGTGTTGGTTTAGTTTGTTCAATCAATTTCTGATCAATTTTGGTAACCATGATTCACAATCCAAAAAACTGAAAAACCTTAAGCAAATATTCTTTCAATTTTATTCATAAAAAAGGATCCCTCATAAAAAGGGGTGTGTGTATATATATATATAGATATATACATATTCGTTATATGAAGACGATCTATTGAATGAAGAGTGCCTTAAACTTGAGACCTAGTACATTATAACTAATTAAATATGAATGGTTCATATTCATCCTCCTCATTATGCATCTCAACCATTCATATTTAATCTAACAAATGATAGTCAAGTCTTCTATCTAAGTCCGAAACTTAGACCTATATAGTGTCTTTCTCAGTGCGTGACATCCGGTATTTATTTAAAGACCGGATTTGTAGCCCTGGGATTGATCCTGTGGCTGGGCAAAATTGCTCTCAAAGTCAAACACCAAAATGGGTTCCAGCTGTAAAGAGCAAGAGTGAGGAAGGGTGAAAGATCCCTTCCCACGCCACAAAGATGCAGTCCAAAGGTTGTATATCAAGCGTGTGATTTTCTGTGGCATGGGAAGGGAATTTTCAGCCTTTCTCTCTCTTGATCTTTACAGCTGGAACCAATTTTGGTGTTTGACTCTAAGAGCAACTCAGTCAGCCACAAGATCAATTCAAGGGCTGCAATACATGTCCAGTCTTTACCTAAAAACTCGATGTGCTGCACTGAGAAAGGCACTATCCATATATCATGTGTGTGTATATATACGCAGTAATATTCTCTTACCATATAACTGGAAAAGTCATGTTGCCAGACTGAATCTGGACTACACAATTTAACAAAAGCCCACCTAATCTGTAGTCCATATTGACAGCCTAACAAACATAACATGCTAGGATATCTGGCCAGAGAAAAATTGTGCATGTGTCTATATTAGCATCAAATCATTTCACATGTGCCTTTACTTTATAGATTTCATAGTAAGTCAATTTTCATAAACTCTGCATGGTAAACTGGAAAAACCACAGTAGTAAAGCGCAGATAGTATTACCCTAAAAAAATATCTGTGATAAGTATAATAAGAAATGCCTTCCCGGTATCTGAAATATTATTTATTATCTTATAACCTGTAAATTTCAGCAAAGCTACCTGCAAAAGCAAGGGAAGAATTAAAGAAAATAAAATACAATCAATTTAACAAGAGTTGAGTGCAGAATTTTAAAGCTAAAGCTAATCTTCATACAAATTTTTAAAGCAGAAACAAAAATATTCTATATGAATCCAAGATTGCTATGTTTCTTGAGAAACTAGCTACATAGTGAATCTTAATAGGTATTTCACGAGGTTAAGCTATAATTTCATTGTCATACTACTATTTTTGTGTGACATAAAAAACAATACACATCAGCTTGAATTCAACTACTTAGATCTGATGTGTACTGTTTCTTATCTCACCATCTAGATGTCAAATGTTTTATAGTCTTCACCTATATATATATAGTCAATCTTTACTTTGATATTGACTGCTGTGAAAATTCTGAGCAGACAAAAGGTGTCATAATTGCATAATTTTGTCGACGAGTATTCAGCAAATAATAAGGGTGCATATTTATCACCCTTAACCACACATATGACAAATTGGAAAGGGCAAAGTAAAAAAATATAGTATTGACAATGACAATCATAGCTAATAATGCAATTGCTGCTCATACTAACTATTTTTGTCTGACGGATGATGACAATGGTTGTTAACTGTAAAGCGTTCCGAAGACATTCATTTTAAGCAATGTTTTTTACTATCATAAGTAACAAAAATAAAATAAATAAATAAATCATACATGAAGGTATACTAAGGAAATAGAGCAATGGTAACTCACTTTACTCTGATTGCAGTATAAAAGAATGAATAATGAGACCCCGAATATCATATCTGACCATATGTTGGCAAATGCTTTACGATTCTCTAATCTCCATTCATCTCTTAGCTCTAATCTGTTGAAACCATAAGGAAAGTAATTGGACAACATTTTTCATTGAAATTATAGTCCAAAAAATCTAGCTTAAGAACATTAAAACATAAGGGCGTTTTCCAAAATTATCCATGCAATATAATAGACTAAAGTTCAACATTTCTAATGACATTAAACTGTAATTATCAATATAAATAATAATCATATATGTTTGACGCATAGGTGAATTTGAAGTCACCACTGACAAATGTGAATACTGGACGTTTTAAAAAAGAAATGTTCCATAGTTGTCATTTCAGAGATCAATTTCCTAAATAATTTTGTTATGCAGATCCAAATGTATAAGTGTGGAATGAGAAAAGAGTTCAGGTATAGATTTAGACTAAAGAATCAAATGCAAGAAAACCTTAAATGAGATACCAAAATCAAGGCAGTGGAATATGTATGAAACAACGCATATAAATTGGGTGATTTTGCTGAATTGTCCTTTCCTTAGAACTTAATACTATTATATAATATCAAAGCACACACTCTTGAATCTGTTGTATTATATGGGTTCTTCTCTTCTTCTATACTATTTCTTTTACTTTAGAGACTAAAAAAGAAAATCAAACTCTCCATACTCACTTTTCCAGAAGTATCTCCCTTCCTTCATCGATGTCAAGGTCAATTTTAAGGGCATATCATTAGAATTGTAAAGTTTTCATGGGACCGTGCAATTGTTCTTCCCTTTCCACTTTAAATTGCTCTGAGCATTTTTCTCCAGCTTAAATTTAATTGTGTTTGTATTTAGATCATAGAAAAGGATATCACAGAGAGGGATTTTTCTTATTCAATTACTATACAGCCTGCTGGTTCCTAGAAATGCCATTATCTTTAGTAGGGACCCTGGCTTCTATATCTCCATATTTGCTCTAGAAAAAGGGAATTGGTATATCCATATCTTTTCCAGCCCTCCACTTTTAACTTCTAAGTACCAGTTTTGGTCACGCTCTGTAGACTTCTTCCATATTTAATGCATCTCCTCTACCCTGTACCTTATTGTCAATCCCACTTAGACTGCTTGTAGAGTTTCTCTGGAGGTAAATGGTTCCACTATCCTCGTACTCATGCATGGCATTGCTTAGGGTGCTTAATTGCTTAAATCTCCACTCTAACTTTTTGCAGAATTTAAAGGTTTTTAGCAGCCTGAATGTAGTAAAAGATCATGGAGGTTTACACAATGGAACTCATGATTGATGTAATTATGTCATTAAAAGGTTTTAAGTGTTTGATTGTTTATGTAGTCATATGTTCTAGGGTCACAAATCATAAACTAGACTGCCCAAATCTAGGCATGTGTGGCTACTTTTAGCCTTCTTCTAGAACTTACTAATTCCATGTAGTTTACGCACTAATCTCTATTGTGATTTAATGAACCTAATCAACAAAATGGATAAAGATTAAATAAATAAAGGAGCACAAAATAGTGTCGATCTTACGCTTTATGCCTCAATTCCCACCAAACCTCCTCATCAGAAAGCGGTGGAGATTTACCAATTTCCATCTCAAAATGAAATCTTGCTCTCTCAATTTTTAATTCCTCAACCATTTGAAGCTTTTGATTTCTTCTGACGTCAAGCATTTCTGCAGCAAGTGGTACAGTCTTCACATATCTGTTCACAAAAAGTGGGTGCTCGACCCATTATTTCATAATTTAGAGGTAAAACAATGGTTAAAAATAAATTTAATACCAATTCCAATGCAACAAAGCATAAAGATTGAACTTACAATCTTTTTCCTTTAGTTTATACATGCATATATTAGACACACAATTATGTATGTAATTTTTGTCATAACCACTGCAATTTGAAACTTGGAAAATAGAACAAACCTACCTACAAAGTTATCAATTGTTTCCTTAGAAGAATGACCTACCTAACAAAAAAGTTTTAAGTTAAGGAGAGTAGAAAGGTTAGATTTAGAGAAGTATGATATATACTATCAATTAATGTTAGATGCTTGTAGGTCTTACATTTGGCTGATCCGTTGAATAAGACACTAAATCTAGGATCTGCATTGATGATGTTGGGTTTTGAATCTTTTGATATAAAACTAAACCAGATTCCTTGACTAAAGATTATAAGTTCTCTTCCATATGCATCCTATATAAGTGTTAGAATTAGAGCATCTAACACTAACCAAATGGCAATGGATGGATACAAGGATCAGAATTCCCAATGTGGGATTGTATATTCTCCACTACATAATTGCATACATGGCTTTCTTTAAAAGAAAAAATATATATAGCAGCCACTAATTTCAACACATGCTTTTAATGAAGTCTTCTTTTCTTGCATTAACAGAGGTTAGCACAATAAGGTGGCATCCCCTGGAAACTTGCCGAAGTTTTTCCTTAAGCTACCCAAGTTAATATCTATGGAGGGGAGATTTAATTGAACATTGGTGATTAGACATGTCACTGGGAAATTCAGCAAGCCGTTGCTGGACAATAGTTACAACAAGGCAACACTTTGTCAGTTAAATCTTTAGGATTCAGAGGGTATCGACTCAGTGCCTGAGGTCTCTTTCCTCTCAAAGCAATTTTTTTTTCGTGATGCATATGCCTTAAATCCCATCCTCTTTTTGAAATGTGTGTGTATGTCTTTCTATATCTGATAAGAAAAAGAGATAACGGTTACCTGTCTAAAAAAGGCATCAGAAGATAGTCGTGAACCACAAAATCCAAGGCCCAGGGTATAATTATTAACACCGCCAAAAATTTAGCCTGTAAAATGGATGAATTTGACTTACGAAATTAGTCCCTTAACAAAAAGGAGAAGATCCAAATATGAGACAGAAAAATATCAATATCTAAAGGACAGACGCAGGCTGGCTGACAGAAAATTACACTCAAACCATGTAATGTAGTTTTGTTGCATGTTGTAGTAAGGTTAAAAACAGAAACACCAATGCAATATAAATTTCAATATTGCATGCTTTGATTTGATAGCTCCTATATTAAAGGTAGAATGTCTCATGTTCATAGTGCACAAACACGGGTTCCTATATCACAAAAGCAAATGCAAAAAGAAAGAGAATCGCAATTGCGTATTATTGTGATCACTATACTAGTGATTACAGTTTCGGACTCAGCCCTAATTGTAATTGTTATTGTACAGAGCAATCTTATCTTTTAGATAGGCTCTCTCCATTATCCTAGTGATTATTAGGAAAGAACTACATTTCTTCAACTAGATTGTTTCCTTTGAATACAATCAATGGAAAATATTTATTACCTTTTGGTTTCCACCATAATTTAATTATTTAAATTGACTTAACAGGAGGAGTTACTATTGAAAGAGATGCTTTGATACATTGAAGAATTTTGTATACTCGAGCAAAGGAAATGAAAGGAAATAAAAATAAAAACCCACAGTTGTGAAGTGAAGCAAAGAAAATGAAGAATTTTGTTGACAGACATGAGCACTTACCGAATTGAGTGAGGCATAGCGGAAAACACGGTCTTCATAGAGCATGTCGTCGTCGTCGTCATCTTCCTTTCTAAGAACGAAATCAGTGAGAGAGTAAAGCAAGCCCTTTTCTTGAGTAGGATCCGACTGCACAGCTTCCCAGGAAGTAGAATTAGAATCCGCAAGCCAGTCCTCCCACTTGCGATTCTCCTCGTTCGTCATATCTTGCTGTGCTTCCCTCAGCTCCACGATTGCTTCAGCCCTCGTCTTCCACGCCTCAAATTTCTCACCTTCATCAGACCCTTCCATCTCCAAGTCATCCTCCGCCTCCACCAGCATGTCATCCTCCTTCAAACCAAGCCAATTGCCATCCTCGTCGAAAAAGAATCTCTGCCACCAGCTCCTTTCCCTTTTTCGTTTCCCGGCATTTGGGATGAACCCGGCGGCAAACCTCCGTCTTGTATCGCCCAGTTGAGAAACTAATGTTGACGAATTTCTGTGCAGATAAAAGGAGCTCCGCCGCAGCTTCGGGTTATTAAAGATAAAGTTTTTGCATAAGACCATGGAGGACATGATTAGTATGAGCCCACATTTTTCAGCTTCTCAAAGCAGAAATGGAATTCAAACATGAACATAAGTGGAAGTAAATAAGAGAGAGCATGAAGAACAAGAGGTGATGGTTGGTAAAGAGATACTGAGGGAAAGAGGATAACGGTTTAGTCATTCCTTATATTTATGAGTTCCGCTAATATTAACAATACAAATATTTTTTTATTTTTTCACATTATTATTATTATTTGGTTGCCAAAATTAAAAAGAGTATGGGGAAAATCACAAACACAGTTACTTTAGATGTTTGAACCCGGACCATTTGGGAGCACACCAAAAACTTGAGTAAATCTATTTAACATTCCATTGGTTATTTTTTCACTTTATTCAAATTAACATAAAATGCTCATATACTGTTTTTAATTAAAAATAATATAGACTATATAAATATTTCATTTTTTTTGGTTGTTGGAACAATATTTCATATTAAAAAATATATATTGGTCTTATTTTTAAGAGGCACAATTAAATTCTTTTTTTGCCCTAGTTCGTAGGGGTGAGCATCAAAACCGGAATATCAAAATTGTGCCAAATCATGACAATCTCATGTCGTCTCATTTGGTGTTGAAGTGTAAACGGGATGATATCGTGTCATCCCGTTACTGTTTGGTACGACACCAGTTCCAAATTTGTGATCCCGTTTGATGCCATACTATACTGAACAGTACCAGGAGTACCAGGTAAATAATAAACCCCAATTTCATATTCCTCATCTCCCACGAATATTTCAACTCTTCAAGATTTGCTTCCTCCGTCTCCCTTCTCTTCTCCTTTCCTCCCCTATATTCTTCTCTTTTCTTTTCCTCCTCATCCTCTCTCTCTCTCTCTCTCTCTCTCTCTCTCTCTCTCTCTCTCTCTCTCTCTCTCCTCTCTCTCTCCTCTCTCTCTCTCTCTCTCTCTCTCTCTCTCTCTCTCTGTGTTCTTCTCCAAAGTGTATAAAATCGGTGGAAAAGGAAAGCCCCAAAGTCTCTCCTACTTTTTGTGTAGAAAAACCAGGGGGTCGAAGATCGTATTCTTGGTTGGTCTTGAATCAAGACTTGATTGTTTGTTTTGTTGTATTATGCTTGATTTGTAAAAGCCAATGTGAATGTATTCAATGTATCATATAATTTGGGAGGTCTTGAACAAGACTCTTGAATCTTGATTGTTTGTAAACTTTGTATCAGACTTGATTTATAAAAATTGCAAGATTTCTGAATTTTTGCAGGATTTTTTACAATATTAACATTGATACCGAATCATACTGATCCCGTTTGGGTCCGATATGTTTGAACGTGTTCTCAAAAACTCACATCCCGTGTCATCCCATCCCAATTCCCCTATCCGGGACAGACACCAGGATGACCTACATCCCGTATCATCTCGTACCGTGCCCTCCCCTACTAGTTAGAAAGGAGAAGAGTGTTTTGTCAAGTATCGTGAGGTTCGAAACCTGAGATATTAAGACCTTTTTTTCCCAATAGGCTATATACCTAAATATATTTTGAGATTTTCTATTTAAGCCCCACACTTCTCTTAGTTCACCCCAACTTTTAATTTAAATTTTCACAATTTCTAAGAAAACCCCACTATCTTCCTAAAATACCCTTAAATACACCCCAAGCTGCAAAAATAAGAAATAAAAGAGATTTTTTATTTATACCCCACAATTTTCTTTGTTCACCCCAATACTCAAATCATTAAAAAAAATTGTAGTATACATGAGATTTTGTTGTTTTCACAATTTGTTTTTATCATGTCATTAGATCATATGAGACATTGTTAGTTTGTTTGGTTTCGTTTTATGATGACACTAAAAACCAATGACCACAACATCTTCTTTTATTTTTTACCCAACGGAAAAGTGACATTTAGCCTATTGAGATGATATGATATAATGAAGTCATTTGCTATTTGAGAACATTGCTATAGTAAAAATGGCATTTAAGATGGTAATTGTTATATACTTTTCTTTCTCCATAATCTTTTGTAACATCGAAACAAAAGCATACCTATATTTTATAGGAGATAAACAGGAAAGATAATGAAGGTGTAACCTGATAAAACTTTATAAAAGTTTACAAAACCCAATAGGTCATAAAACTATTGTGACTAAACATCTAATAGTAAGGGATCAATATACATCAAGATGTACATCAAATGAACCGATAAGCTCTTTCCAATTGTCAATGCGATCTCGATATGGACTATACCAATCCAATGCTTTGAGGTTGGAAATATCAAGCCAACAATTGATAATAGGTGGCATAGGATGGTGTGGTTGCAAGTGTAGCTGTCAAAATAAAATAAAGTTGTCAAATGTATAGTTAAAACAACAAACAAATTTCACAAGGCAAAACTGCCAGCTATAAATAGAAAAAATTATTATAATACCTGCACAAAGTATTTTTCAACCAATCCGATGGAAATTTCCCGACATTGATATTCAGACAAAGGATGACTTTCTGTTGGTAGAAACATAAGAGATATAACATTTGAAAAATGCATCAAGACCAGATTGTAACAATTTGCAATAAGGTAACCCATTTATGGTATGAGCATCCACCTATCTTCTAAAGGGTAATCATCAAAATAATCCAAGCGATACTCAACCTCATGCTTACTTTCAACACTCTGAAAGATGAATTCATAAAGAAATTCATCATTTTTCAACTCATTCAGTAACTCCCTCCTTACTTTACGCCAAGAATTCTCCCTGTAACCTAGCAACCTAGCAATGGCTCTAAAGCCACAATTGCCATCAGATTTTACATCTTTGGCCCCCATAATAAATGGCCTTATAGCAACTGGAAGTTTGTCATTATATTGTTGTGTCAAGTCTTCGAGATTGACAATTTGTTGCTTATGCACCTGAATAAAAAAAAGTATAAGTTTATCTTTTGAACTTTTGATGCGTTAATCAAAATAATATAAGTATATACTGGTAGTTTTGGTGGTCGCTTCTTAGGCAATGTAGTTTCAGCATTTACAATTTCGAGTGCTGATGAATGAGTATCACGGTTCACCTACAAAGTAAAGAAACATAAGGAGCAACAAGTATAATTGTAACATAAAAGTAATATGAAGTACTTACTGTTAATGGGGGTGCTTGTTTCTTTCGCTTTTTTGGTGGAGGTTTCATATAGACTACACCGTTGGACAATGTCCGAGAATTCCTATTACAATTGGATTCGACAAGCTCAAAGGCTGAAGGCAATCTACGAGTAGACTTGTCAAAATTACTCGGACGCTCTTTTGTCTTGATCTTCACTTGTGGTTCTCTAAGTGTTGAAGATTTTGGATCCATAATCTCTTGTAACTTCATACCGATGTGTCTTTTGGTGTCAACATCATTACTTTTAAACTAGTTGACAAATACGTCAATCTTTGCATCTTCAGGAGAATCTAAGTTGTCATTAATTTGTGCGGCGGGAAACATATCTAATTTCCTTCAGTGAGGATGAACACAATGAAGAGCAATGGGTCGGAACACTCGACTTAACTTAGCCATCTCATGAGCACATGGTAATCGTGGCTGCGTCTAATAACGTAGCCGCATGCAATGGGATCAGCCCCGACATATTGTATCCTCTTTGACTCACACAAAATTTCCTGTAAGGCAACAATAGACACATACCCTATCAAGTCTTTAAGTAGGCTCACCTTATTGAATTAATGCTGGACAAATGATTGACTCTTCTCAAATGAAGCCTTTATCTCAGTGTGTTTCAATACTAACATGGCATGAATCTTGGCCCACTATTTTTCGAAGTTGCATTGGCTTGTGCCAAGTTGTCGCTTCAGTTGTGAATGTGCACTTTCTGCCCTATTTATAAACATTGAAATAAGAGATTTAGTATAAGCTAGGAATAACCTTGCAAGCTTTCATCACACACCTGTTGATATGCCATCAACATAATAAATGTCAAACACTAGGGAACACATTGAGAATGGCATTCATAAGTGCCATTTCCCTATCAGTGACAATCACACCTGGAAGACAATTTGTATTCATGATGCTTTTCAATCTATTCAAAGCCCACATATAGATGTCTTCATTTTCAGAAGAAATAAAAGCAAATGCAGCTGAGAATGTTAGTTTCATCGATGTCACCCCCACAATTTGTAATAATGGGTATTGAAACCTGTTTGTCTTATATGTGCAATCGATTACTAGTACATGAGGAAATGTATGCAATAGGTTTACACTATAAGGGTGAGCCTAAAAAAGATAGCTCACACAATTGGTGTCATTAGTCCTATGCCAATGAATATACTTGTGATCAGATAGTCTACATAGCAATAGTTGCATCTCAGATCTACTAGCTTTCTCAACCAATCTACATTAGGCTTCTTAATATAAAGCCCACCTCTCTCATAACCTAAAGTAACTCTAGCTCTCCTCATTATAATTTTTCCAGCTCCATCAGACCTTTTAATGACAACTACTATGCCACACTTTCGTCCTTGCACACGATTCCAATTAAGCAATGCTTCTCGACTATTGAATATCTATATAAAAGCATATATGGTAGTTGTAAAAGATTATCAACCACTCAGAAGTTACAACATCATAATAATAGTTTATTTACCTCATTTGTTGTGAATTGTTTAGTTGTGTCCAAAACAATTTTTGTCCTGGTACCATGACTTGGAGTAAAAGTATTTTGTTGTGGCCCCCAAAAAAAAAAAAAAAAACAAAAAAAAAAAAAAAAAAACAATACTGCTATCATAAGGGTCCTCATTATTGGACCCTCATGAGGACCTTCAATACTAGCTTTGGGGAAGGCTTAAGTACAAAATCAGCATTGGCATTAGAAACATCTGTACTTCCTCTATAATTGTTAGAATCAAGGGGCACCTCAGTGCCTTGCTTGGCAACAAAATCAGTAGTTGTGACCGAACATTTACACACAGATAACCTTACAATGCCATCTCCTGCTACCCTTTAAACTTGCTTTAGACAAAGAAACTTTTTCTAACAAGTGAGCGGGACCTTTCAGATGAGCCCAAAAGTGTGACACTTCCCAAACTAACAAGGGAAGCCACAGAACCCATTGTTCCCAGCATGCTTCCTACTAAAATTAGCATGGAGACCCCACAACACAACCACCGTTACATACACACACACACATATATATATATATATATATTCTAAGTTGTATCCTAAACTCTCCAGAGTTCCAGATAAAACGTGAACTTGTACGTCAATTAGTATAACACAAAGAAAAATTCAAGCTACCCCAATACTAGAATTCCAGAAATGACAATAATATTATTGTTTCGAGCAGAAAAAAAAACACAAACAAATGGAACCCCAAATCCGAAATTTAATAACATCGGGTATAAATTTTAAATCAAAAATCAAAACAACCAAGCAATCAACCAGACCAAGAAAGACAAAAAAAAAAAAAAAAAAAAAAAAAAAAAAAACAAAAAAAAAAAAATAAGAATAAAAAAACCAACACACAACAAACCAACAACCTTTCTATCAGCTTTCTATCCACCACACAAATTTAAAGAGGTGGGCTCGTCAATGTTCTACGTCTTTAAAAGAGAAGAGTAATATGGCAATAGGATGCAGAGGAGTTTGTATTTTTCTAGAACTTAATATGAAAAGTGGTGGGGTGTGTGTATAGATGTACTAGGATTAAGTATTAAGTTCGATGACCTTTTTTATTTTTTTACAAAATAATAAAACTTACAGCTTAATGATTTAAGTATTCGAGTGAACAAAGAGAAATACATGGTTTAAATAGAAAATCTCTATATTTTCCCTTCTTTAATTCTAAAATATATATATATATATATAAAGCAAAATGTATAGAATGGTGAAACATTCAAAATATCAGAAAATGTCATTGGTTAATTTAAACATTAAGAATTGAAATTATTAATTAAATGAAGATAATATGGTAAATTCATATTTTTTTATATTAAAAAAATTAAAATTAAAAACTATATCAGATAATAAGTCCTCCTTTAATGCAGAACTACTTATCTTTTCATAATTCTAAAATAAAATAAAATCATTCATGATAAAAACTCCTACGGAAAATAATTGAAAAAGTCGGATCGACCCGATCGTATGGTTTAAGAGTAGGTCCGATTTAACCCCATTTTAAACTCTGATACTCAGAAGAAGAGTGAAATAGGGACGTTGAAAATGCAGTAGGGTTTGAGAGAGAGAGATGAAGGCGGTGGCGGGTATGGTGATTTCCAATAAGATGCAGAAGTCGGTGGCGGTGGAGGTGGCAGGCTGTTCCATCACAAACTCTACAACCGATACGTGAAGAGGACCTCCAAATTCATGGCCCACGACGAGCAGAATCATTGCAACATCGGTGACCGAGTATGTCCTTTCTCATTCTCCTTCTCTCTGTTTCTTATTCAACAATAATTTAATTTCATCATAAGCATATTACTTGATCAGGTTCGATTGGAGCCATCGAGGCCTTTGAGCAAGCGCAAGCATTGGGTTGTTGCCGAAATCATCACAAAAGCACGCATTTATGAGCCTATTTTACCGTTACCACCTTCACCTTATTCTACTTCTTAAGGCTTCCTCTTCAACTGCTGTTATTATTCCACGATAAGTAACATTAGCTCCTCCTTTTTCTTTATTTTCTTCCTTATATATTTCATAGCTTAGTTAGTCCTAATGTAATTGTATCAGATTCATTAATTTAGCCATAAAAATCTAACAATTGTGATGCCCGTTTTCCAAATCCTGATTTTTTTGTTATAAGCAGATTCCAACTCATTATTAATTTAGGCAACAAATTGATGTATTGGCTGTAAATCTAAAATTGGTTAAGGATGCAATTCTTTTGCAAACCTCCTGAAAGATATAATAAGTTTGGTGCATTAATACTGTGTGTGCATTTCTTCTCAGAGCTAGAGATAGATGCAATAGTTAAGTTATAAAAAATCGTTGCTTCTCAAAGCTATTGGTTCAAATGCTATCTCTACTAGTCTTTGCACTTTATCTGTTTGTCTTGTTTTGCATTTTTTTTCCTTCTTATGTTAAAGTAATTTTGTTTGCGTTTCTTGCCATTACCAACCACAAGACTCACGTAAGTTGCCATGTCTAATATCTGTATTTTTTTCTGGTTTAGTTCTCTTGTCGTTGACTGCTAAAGTTGCTAGAAAATTTAACTGAACATGACATAAGTCAAGCATATGCGAGAAGAATATGAAAGCTTTCCAGCATGTAGAATCGTGATTTCACTTTCTTCTGGCAGGTGAAGCTTTTGTGTAGAGCATCTGAGAGGCCGACATGACCAGGTTTAGCCAAAGCAAGTTCTTTTAATTTCTCGAATATTTTGTTTGTATGGGAATGTACCTTTACTCTAAAACCTAATTATGAGGAATTTATATCTCCAATTCTGTACTGAATTTTCCCACCCGATACTTTTGATAAATTCTATATATATCATGCTTCTTTAAGTAAGGCATTGAGCTTTGTATTCTTCAGCAAATGCTTGGTTGATTTCTAGGAAATCTGTATACATTTCTATATATTTATGTATGTATGTGTTTGTATATATTAGTGTATGTATATGTATGCATTTATGTATGTATGTTCTCCTTTAGAAAGAGGCTTAAACATAACAAGCGCATTGATTCGTGTCTTGCCAACTGCGGTTGTATGCATTTGGGAACTTCATGTCTATACCATGCTCACCCACGTGACGGTATCTCTGCTGCCACGTGCAACTTGTGACATCACACCACAACCATGTCAGTTCCACCTGCTCACTTGAGACATGCTCTTAATTTTGGACCCTGTTCGCATCCCCATTCACATCCATTATCTTCCTTCATAAATGATCTCCTACCGTAGTTCTTTCCAGATCCTACTCTTCCGCTATCTTGAGACTTTCTCTTGGTGAGTCTCCTTTACCCATGGATTTGGGGACAACATCTACTTCCAAAAAGGTCCGGCGAGAGAGAACCCCAGGACGCTATAAGGGCGTTCGAATGAGGGCTTGGGGTAAGTGGGTTTCTGAAATCAGGCTTCCAAAGTCGGGAGACAGGATATGGTTGGGCTCTTATGATGCCCCAGACAAGGCAGCTCGGGCCCATGATGCTGCTGCGTATTGCATTCATGGTGAACGTGCAGAGTTCAATTTTCCAAAGAATAGAAGGCCAGTGCTCTCTAAGGGCTCGACAGTTTCCTTGTCCAAGAAGGATATACAGACTATTGCAACAGATTTTTCTTCAGCTGATGTATCAGAGTCTACTCCAGTGTCGTCTACAATGACAACCCAGGTTCCATCTGATAAACCAGCTTCTCCAAATTTACTGGTTTCTAAGGGTATGGCAAGTGCATATGAAGTGGATAGTGGTTCATTTGCCCCAAGTTGCGCTACTGGAGAAGCTGTTGCTTCACTAGAAAATATACAATTGGATGATTTCCTCATGCTAGATACAGACTGGATAGCTGATTTTTATTAGGTATTTATGTGCATTTATATATGTATATCCACTTATGTAGGCCAGTCGACAGATGTTGTCATTAATGTGATTATACTATAAAACTAGGACTTGGGAAAGTCAACATGTGCGACATCCTCGAAAGAAGATGACCGTCTTCTTGTTTATCTCCTCATTGGTGCGTCTTGTGCAAAGTGTGTGAGGAAAATGCGGATCACTTGTTGAAGGAAACTGAGGCTGTCTGGGTTATTCCTAGAGAGTGTTTCAAGCTCCTTAGTTTTCAGTTTGTAGGTTTAGGAAAAGGGAACTGAGCTTCAACCTTAAGGGGCTGTTTGGTGCAGTCTATGTTTTGGAATATTTGGCTGGAACGAATTAGAAGAACTTTTGAAGCTTATGATGTGGACATGGACGCTCTGTGGCTTAGAGTGAAATTCTGGGCAGCATTGTGGGCTTCGGTAACTTTGGAGTTTTGGGACTATCCTTAACCTATTATTATGAGGGATCTTGTAGCTGTTGTGAAGTGATCTGCCTTTAGTGTTGGGTTTCTGGGTTTTCTCTGGGAAGTTGTTTCGTTTCTTTGTTTTTGCATGGGTTTGGTATTTTTGTTCCTGTTTTTTTGCTCTGTTCATGTTGGTTGTGGTGTGAGGATTTCTCATCCTCTTCTTTGCCCTGCCTGGGGTTTTTAATATATTCTACGTTTCTGTTATAAAAAAAGTATGCTTCGATACTAAATTACTAATTGGTTGGATTTGCTAGACATGTGCCTGTTCATCCTGAAGTACTCAGGGTTTGCTGCATGTTTTAAGGAAGCACTTATAAGTGATTTTGCCGAAATTGTTTTTGTTGGAAGCAAGTTGAAATTTTTATAAAAAGTTTTTAAGTGCTGTCAGAAAGAAAACACTTGGAATTGCTTCCTGAAGATTTTCCATAAAACACTTTTAGTGCTTTATAATACATAAGCACTTTTTCTGTCTAATGCTTTTGAACTCCCTTAAGTCTCTAAAAGCACTACTAAACGTGCCCTAAAATTTAGCTGAAAAATGAGTAACGTTGGAGATGCTTGTCCCATCTAGATAAACCGTTTACTTTCCACCCTTTTATGGCATGTTCACGTACTTTGAATAAGTATTGGAATCATTTTAATTACTGCTTTAGTTTGCTAGAAGCATGAAACTATTTGATTTGATAAACGGAATCTGATAACACTAGTTTTGGACTCTTGCATTAAGCGCTGGTTTACCAATAGAGGACTTGTATGACCGTATAAATGGAGATTAACAAGAGATTTTCTCCGCCTAAGAAAGTTAAGGCAGATGCCTCTGGTTGGTTCTGAATTACAAATATCCTGCTTTTTGTTCGTTGGTCCTTGCTTGGGCAGGAGTGAGTGGATTATAATTCTGAGGCTGGTCGTCCACTCTCCTGTTTTGTGTTGGATGCATTGCAGAGTGTGGATATGATTCATTTTTGCTACTTGTGCTTCCTGGCTGGAGTCTACAAGCCTTTTCAAAGTGCAAAGAACCATTGACTTAACACTTGAGGGTGAGTGTGGTCGCTGCTGAGTACTATGCTACAAGCCTTGTCATTATCTGGCTAAACTCGGCTGAATCCATAGCATTTCCTTAATCCTTGTATTCTCATGACTCTCCTCACCTCTTCCACCCCAAGCCAGTTGCCGGTTTCAGCATGAACCATGCTCAGTAAGGTATAGTTGGCAGCATTCTCAGGCTCCGTTGTAACAAGGTGATGTGCGAAAGATTCTGCTTTCTCTAATCTTCCATGAACCTTGCAAGCTGTAACCAACGAACTCCAGATTTTAGTACTTGGTTTCATGGGCATTGATCTAACAAGCTCATAAGCATCTTCAAGCTTCCCTAATCTTCCAAGAAGATTAATATAGCAAGCATAATGCTCCACGCTTAATTGTATTTTATTGCCTTCTATCATACGCTTAAAGATCTTATTTCCCTCTTCCACGAGGCCAGCATGGTTGCAAGCAGATAAAACAGAGAGGAAAGTGACTGCATCAGGCTCTATCCCTCTCTCTTGCATCTCATCAAGGAGTTGCAAAGCTTTCTTACAGTGACCATGAAGGCCATAACTGCCAATCATTGTGCTCCACGAAACAGAATCTTTCCTTGGCATCTCCTTGAAAATTTGATGTGCATCCTTGATACAACCACATTTGGCATACATATTGATAAGTGCATTGCCAATGAAAATGTCAAAACTTAACCCAGATTTCAAGACATAGCTGTGGACTCCACATCCAAGGTTTAGTGAAGATAGAGAGGTGCAGGCAGAAATGATTGCCAACAGAGTTACAGAGTTTGGTTCAATTCCTTCAGCTCGCATCTGGCTAAAGAGTTTCAGAGCTTTTGCGTTATTGCCGCATTGAGAATAGCTCCCAATAATCAGACTCCACACCACAACGTCTTTAACAGGTATCCTTTCGAAAATTAGCTTGGCAGGACGCAAAGCTTTCCCGTGTTTGCAATACATGTGTATGAGAGCTGCTGAGCAATGATGATCTGAATCAAATCCATTACGAAAAGTATATGCATGAATCGCTTTCCCATGTTCTATAAGTCCCAATTCGGCACAAGCCGGTAAAATGGCAAGCACCGTCACTCTGTTTGGTTTCAATCCTTCAACCTGCATTGCCCGGAAGCATTCCATTGCAATGTCATAACTGTGATTAGCAATGCATCCTGAAATCAAGGCAGTCCAAGAAACTTCATTTTTAACTTCCATTTGATTAAAAACATGTAAAGCCATCAACGAGTCATGACACCTCATATACAAATCTACCAGAGCCGTTGACAAGAACACCGACTCCTTAATCCTTCCATCAACAATGACGAGTCCGTGAATCTCTCTGCCCAGTCTCAACTCTCTTGTCCTTGCACAAACTGATACGATGCTGGCAATCAACTCCGCTTTTGGTATAGAACCATGAAGATACATTTGCTTAAGCACTTTAAGCCCCTCTTCGAGATGCCCATTTTGTACATAACAATTTATCAAGGAATTCCACGTGATGGTGTCTCTTTCAGGCATTTCATCAAACACCTGACGTGCTGCTTCAACAATTGTAAATTTTGCATACATAGAAATGAGAGAATTGGATACGACTGGGTCTGAGTCACAGCCTGACTTGAGAGACAAGCAGTGAAGTTGAAGCCCAAAGTGATGGGACATTGCATAGGAGCATGCTTTGACGATGGAAGGGAGAACAAAGGAGTTTGCATGGAGGCCAAAGGGATGATGGAGCTCTTGTTTGTATAGTCGAAGGATTTGGTCATATAATCCTTTGACAACCAAGTTCTTGATTTTAAAATGAAGGGCTGAAATTGTAAGTGCGGGGCTTAGACTTGAGGTGAACCGCCTGATCACATGATAATGCATGATGGATAGTCTTTGATTTTCTGGACATATTATTGACTGCTATGGTAACCATTAGGTTTCTGCATTAATAGTCAGCGGGCATATAAACATTATATGCTAAGATGCAATAAGTTTAACAACATGGTTGCTTGCTTTAGGTGGTGACGGAAATGCTTATTTAAGCTTATGAATTGTTTTAGGTTTTGTTGTCTTTTTTAGCTTGGTGTTTTGACTGTCCTCTAATGAAGTTTCCTATTTTGATAATATAAAAAATAATGCAATTAAAATGGATTTTTAATTTTTATCTAATGAAGTATTTTGTGATTAATTCTATTATATATATATAATTTTTATATAAGCTGTATTGGCGAAGGGGAAAACCAAACTTACAATCCGAGTACATGAATAAATACTTGAGCTATAAGCTTCTTGCGTTCACAACTGAAGACATGAATATTGGCATTACATTTTGAAGCCTTTTATTAATTAAAAAGCCCAGCTTGGAAGAATGCACCGAAATCCAGAAGGGGAAATAGGCTGCTCCCGGGCCGGGCAACATGATTTTGATAAAATTGATGCGGATGGTGGGGATGATGGCCACACCTCAGCTCTTCTCCCGGTCTTCCTCACTGCTTTTACAATCATTTTGCGATCCATAAATCCCAATACCGTGATCTTGTTGGATATCACATCTATTTCAACGCATCTTACTCCTGTGAAATTCATATAATTCAAATTAACCATGCATACATAATGCATTATACATATGTTTATGTATATATCATCAATGTCATGCATGTGTACCTTTGATTCTGCACAAGGCTTTGCGAACTGCCTTCTCACAGGCCCTGCAGTGTAGACGAACCTTTAACTCTACAACCTGAGTGTGTCAACTGGGATCAATATCAACAGTACCATACATTACATAGAAATAAACGCAAACTAAATTGAAGTGACTGAATGGACAGAGAGACATATACAAACCTCCATAAATAATGAACACCAGAGCAGAGAGAGCAAAAACAGATCAATATCAAGTAACCAACTGTATGCCTGCCCGCGCTTTTGAGTTCGATGGATGATGAGTTGCTACTAAACAAATAGCTAGCAGAGCAGGGTGAGCTAAATGATTGCTAAATTTCATAATGATTACTAATTATAACAATCATGTACAGTAGCATGTGCGTGTGGGTGTGGCCATTCTTCCCAGAAAAAGAAAAACCAAAAAAACAAAAAGTACTCGTATTTTTTCTCCAGAAGAAATTATTCAATGTCGATTGCATCATTACCTGGATATTGTGTGTAAGCGTCTATTATAAGCTTTCATAATGACATTGTGTTGTGATCATTTTGTGTGTTGTCTTGTTATAAAATTTCAGGTAAATTATTATGTCTATGTTGTCAAACTATGAATTAGTATATTGTTCTTTTGCTGGGCAAATATTTATGTTAAGAAAGCAAGACCGCACAAATGAATGATTAGAGTGTTGATAGTCACATTTTGGTCCTTCAATTTCCAAAATGGTTGTGGACTGTGGTGGTCCTTAAACTTCACTTTCGTTAGCAATCGAAGTCTTGTCGTCTCTTATGTTAGTTTCTTCATTAAATTTAGGGGTTAATGAGTATTTTTATGTTGGTTTTAGTTCCCATCATTCTAAAACTAGGGCTGACATTTTAGACCGACCAAGCCAAATCGGACCAAATCGAATTGGCCGGTTCAACTCTTTCTCCATTTTCTTGACATCGATGCCCGAATCAAACCGAATCGTCAAATTACAGTTTGGGAACCACTCCTGTATGCTTAAATCATCGGTTTTCTGTAAACTGATCGAAACCTAAAATATGCATTAATGCTGGAATTGGGGAGAGTCGAACCCTTGACCTCCAAGGCTAAAGGGGGGTGTATCCAATTCAAACTTTTAATGACTTTTATAGAGTTTAAAAGTCCGAAGGTATTCAATTTAGATTTTTAAAGAGTTTATAAAAGTCTAGTGGTATTCAATTGTGACTTTTGAAAAGTAGTGAAAAGTATTTAAAAGTTTTGTGGTATCCAGTTATGACTTTTAAAAAGTCTTTAAAAGGATTTAGGGTTTAGTTACTTTAAAAAAATAAAAATAAAATAGTACAGTCGCGCAGCTATACTAGGGTCTTGTTTTTCTTTATTTTTTCTAATAAATAGTATGGTCGCACAACTATACTTTTTAAATATACAACCTTGATCTCTTGGACCACAGAAGTCCAAGAGATTGTGGTAACCCACCGTTGGATGTTAATCTAACGGTTCAAAAAAGTTTCTTAAAATGAGTGCAAGAGTGAGTGAATCTTTGAATTTACATCCGACGGTGAATGACCACAAATTTCATGGACCCCTATAGTCCAAGAGATCAGGTCTTTTTTTCTTAATAAAAAGTATAGCCACCCAGCTATACTCTTTAAATATATACTTAGATCCTTTTTTTAATAAATTTTTTTCCCCATATTTTCGTTTATCGATGAGAGTAGTTTAGAGCATTATCCATTACTATTAGGCAATTATCCGAGTATCTATTATCCCTTTTTTATTTTTTTATTTTTCAGAGTTATTACCTGTATAAAGAATTTAGTATTTTTCCGTTTAATACTCATCTTATACACGTACGTGTGTATTTTTCAATAATACTTCCGTTTTCGGTACACGTCTTAAAGACTTGATAAAATATATGTTTTAAAAAAAAACAAACATACAACACACGTATTGTACACGTACGTATGTATTTTTCATGTTTAATATACGTTTTTTTATACAAAAATTTCAATACTACACACAAAATTCACGATTATACACATAATTTTCACATATTATTGAATAAAAATAATATATATTTAAATAATTAAATAAAATATATTAAAATATTATGTAGTGGCCGAACTTTTCAGTTGTAACTTGCCAAAATTTTGCCGAATAAAACACGTATTTTTCCCGTTTCGTATTCTACAACTATGAAATAATTTGAGAGGTTAAGATTATTTCTTACTTGTTGTAAGAAAAATGAAAGATGATGATTTTTGCAATCTCTTTGTGAACTAGAACAACAATTTCATACAAAGTTTTATGGGTATGGTAGTAAAAGAGGTGGTAGTATTCTTCGTGTAAAGTGTTGTTTGAAAAGTAAAGCAATTACCAAGACCACTCAACTCAGCATGCAATTATCTACGACAAATAATGTGTGTAGTAACATAATTTAGTAGTACTAGAGAGAACGGCAGATTAAAGCCAAACATTCCCACGAAAAAAAAAGAAAAAAAAACTCTCAGATTGATTTATTGTGAAATTTCTCTCTTTTCAATATTTGCTTTGCTAATGTTGAAACTAGCAAATTAATAACTATAAAGTATAAACTAATGGAAGTAGGCCACAAAATTTCAAAATGGCTAGGGCACCATTCTTTGCAACTCTCAAACTAGAAAGCTTATGTTTTACTTCTAGTGTAACCTCTCTTTATTAACTGTGTTTTCCGAGTATAAGTGTACTTGCAATACACTTATAGTGGGACCTAAGAGGGGCAAAGTAAAGGTTTATCAACCTAATGATTTTTGAAATCACACCAATTTCGAGTAAAGATACACTTGTATACAATGAGTCCTAAAACTCTAACAACCAACGTTATTGCCAAAGGAACTGTCAGGAGTTGATCAAGTTGAGGAATGATGCTTTTCATCCTATTAGTTCTTACTGTTGATTTTTTTAATAAATTTTTTTGTTAATAAATAATATAGCCACGCGAAGTATAACCATGTGGCTATACTCTTTTAAAAAAATTTAAATAAAATAAAAAAATCAATCATCTAGGCGCTATACTGCGGTGTGTTTTTAATTTTTTTTTTTACATTAATAGTACAGCCTTGTGGCCATACTATTTTTTTATTTATTTAAAAAAGGTGTCCACTAGCTGTTAGGCAGGTCTTTTTTTAGGCTTATTTACTATAGTGCCCTCTGAAACTTTGGTTAAATCTCACTTTATCCCCCCAAAGTTAAAGTGACTCACTTAACCCCCTTGATCGTGATTTCGTGTTTCACTTTACCCCTTACTGTTATCTCTATTAATAACTCTGTTAGTTTTGATGACATGTCATGGGTATTTTAGTATTTTTACAAGAAGTGATGATGTGTCATGTGAATGACCCCCTTTTTTTGGTTTAAATTGAATTAAATATATAATAAAATAATGTAATTACTGATTTAATTAAAAATCTATATACAAATGGAAAAATTAATAAATAAAAATCTATCTTCTTTATGCTTTAAAAATTATAAAAATACAAAAATACAAAAAAACTTACCTAGATCCAACTCTCCCAAAAAATCAATCCCTATCTCCAAAGAATCGCCCCATCCTTCCTATTTTCTTCTCTCTCTACAGCCAACCATCATCCATAACCACCCAAACTCTCCACTAGCCATACCCACCCCTACCTCCCACTAGCCATGCCGTCAGAGGACTTGCAGTACACGATCGAGCCCGAGACGTTGACGGCGAGCGTTGTCACCCCGATGTCCTGTCCGCCGCCTCGATGTACACCAACCCCTCGACATTGGCTATGATGGAGTTGTCATCGTGGGCGTGAATGGACGAAGCGGTGTCAAAGTTTTTGATCCATAGGGTTTTCTGTCTTTTGTTTTGAATTATTGTTTGAAAAGCTAGTGATTTAGGGTCTGTCCATTTCCTTTGGAGTAAAAATGTTTCAATTTAGGTTTAGAATGAGGGAATTTTGGGTTTGAATGTGGGAGATGGGATTTGGGGATGATTTGATTGTAGAGAATTGTTGGAAAGCCTGCCCTGGGTTAGTTTTGGGGAAGGGAAAGAGAGATTGAGATAGATCATCTTCTTCTTTGGTCCAAGCTACTTGGTGTGCGCCTTTTCCTAGCAAGAAGATCTTCCCATTTAATTAAAAACGATATCTTTTTATGAATAAAAGTTGAAGACTTGAAAAAGTAGAAGTAGCAGCAGCTAAAGATGTTCTTCTTCTTGTTGTTTATGTTCTTTTTTATGTTTTGGAAATTGGAAGGAAGAAGGATAAAGGAGTGGAGAGCGGGTGCGGAAGCCGTTTGGGCTGGTGTTGCTGGGGAGAGTTGTTTTTGGGTAGGGTTTTTGTTTTATAAATTTTTTATGGCTTATTATAACAAAACGTCGTTAACGTTTACGAAACAATCAGATTGCATCCTTAATGTTTTTTTGTGTCACTTATGGTCCTTAAGGTACATGTGCGATCACAAATGGTCCATGTCGTTAGGTTCGGTCAAAAACTCTGTTAGTTTGTTGACGTGACATATATATACAGAGAGCTTCCATTGAGGAATCTCTTAAATAAGCTTATTTGAGGAACACCCCTTGTAGGCCCCACTATGGATTGTATTTCACTAATTCAAACCGTATATTTTGTAGATACTCATTCAAAGATCATCTCTACAAAAAATCACTTGAATCCGATATCATTTGACCACTCAATTGAGTTATTAAAATTTTAGTACTTTCTTGAAGCACCGTATTCATTGATTTTGTAAGACACAATTGGATGTCGAAAAGGTTTCCAATTTGTCTAATTTTTTGTAAGGATGATCTATAAATGAAGACCTAAAAAATATATGGTTTGGATCATTAGAAAAAAAATTGTAGGATACCCTAAAGGGCGTCCTTCAAATAAAATTATTTGAAGGATCCCTCAATAGAAGGGGACTGCATATATATATATATATATATATATCACAAAACATCAATGAGGATCACACACCTATCACAAATGGTCCATACAAATTTTTTAAATTTTTAAATTTAAAATTCATAAAATTTTAGTTTTCTTTTTAAAATTATTTATAAATGAAAAAACCATTTATAGAAGGATTTTAATCTTGAGGACCAATTTATGAACCGTAAACCCTTAATTTTTTTCATTTTAAATTATTTTTTTAAAACTCCATTAGTTTGTTGATGTGACATATATATGGCTCACAT